AGACAGACAGAGACAGACAGAGACAGACAGAGGGGAGGGGAGGGAGGGAGAGGGGGAGCAGGAGCTGGGAGAGGGAGTCTGCAGAGGGAACGGGAGATAGGAGGAGAGAGTGAGATTGGGGAGGGGGAGGGAGGAGAAAGGGGAGGGGGAGAAGAGAGAAGGGAGAGGGAAATGTGAGAGAGAGAGGGAGGAGGAGGGGGAGCGAGAGGGGAGGAAAAAGGAGTAGTATATCTATGATCTTGAAATTTTTCTCTGCTCCTTGCTATTACACATTTTTACCTTTTCCTTTTATCAAAATGAAAAGAACCATAGCTTTTACTCCTAAAAAGCTTCCTCAAATCACATTATCTTGAAAGAATATTTATATTTTGGGGAACATGTTTCTTGGTCTTTTCTTATTGCTAGTACACACAGTATGGACATTTTACATAGTGTTATATATGTTCTTGTGTTACTAACTTTCCCAATTTTGGGTCACAATTTCATTGTCATTTCATTTTTTTAGAATTTATTTTTTATTTTACTAGTGCATGTTTGCAGTTTATGAAGGTTGCAGTCATCTTGGGGAGCGGTTACATGTACATACCACAGTTTGTTTGCTTCTTTCTTTGGTGGTACCAGGAATCAAACTCAGGACCTTGCGTTTGCCAGGCAAGCACTTATTCCACTGAGCTATCACCCCGGCCCCTGTTTACTTGTTTCTTAATCCCCTTCCCATCCCTCCTCTATCCCCTACTCCATTTTTTATTCTTGTAGATATGTTAATCTAACTCATGCTACAGCATACAATGTTTGCAATAACTGAGTATTAGTTTTCTCTATATGGCATGTCTTTATTTTACTTATCTCCCCTTCCTCTCCCTTTTTCCCTTGGATCACTTCTGTACTGCAAGAGATCCAGCTCCATGTTCCCTGCCCTCCATCCTTGTCATTCTCTTTGCTCTTTTCCTCAGTCAAATATGCCATACAGTATTTAGCTTCTATGTTTGGTTTATTTCACTCAAATGAGAGACACTGTATGATATTTGACTTTGTGTGTTTTGTTTATATTTTCCAAGTGCATCCATTCCCTACAGATGTTGTAAATCTGTCATTCTTTCTAGTACAGTAGTATTCCATTATATGTGGATTTTTTTATTTGATCATCTTTTGATAGGTATATAGGCTGTTTCTGGGATTTAAGTATTATCAGTTGTGCTGCCGTAGACATTGGTCTACGGTATCACTGTAGTAGGCTGTCTTGAGCTCTTTGGGGAAGACGGCTAGCAGGGAGACTACTGGGTTGTATGGAATTTCTCATTTCAGTTCTCTGAGAAATCTCCATACTGATTTCCATAAAGGTTATACTAATTTACATTCCCACCAACAATAAAGAAGTGTTCATTTTTTATCACAGCCTCACTAGCATTTGCTATTGTTTGACTTTTTTTCTTTTAATTTTTAAAAACCTTTTCTTTACATTTAGTACAGAGTCTACAGGGTCTACTATGTAGGTCGGACTCGTAGTGATTCTCCTGCTTTCAGCCTCCCCAGTGCTGGGATGACAGGCGTGCACCACCATGCCTAGTCTCAGTCATCACAGAGCGCTCTGGGGGTCTTGCTCTGCCTAAGCAGGCACTTTAGTTTTTTTTTTTTTTTTAAAAAACTTTTATTTATTTATTTGGTACCGGGTCTCACCGTACAAGTTGGACTTGTATTCTGTCTCAGCCTCCTCAGCACTGGGATTACAGGTGTGCTCCATCACGCCTGGTTTCTGTGGCTGGCTCCACACAGGTCTGGTACGGCATGCGGTACCAGGGATGAGACCTGGGCCCTTGTGCTTGCTAGACAAAGGGCAGGGGAGGACTATTATGTAGAGGTGTGGCAAAACGGAATCTTGTGGGTGCTGTAATAACCACAAATAATTCGGCAAAATATAAGGACAGAGGCAAAGTCATTTAAAGTAAATAACAGGAGTAAATACTAGCAGATAAATTTTTAAAAATAAAAACGATGATATGTATCTAAACAAACAAGCACTGCTATACATAGAAGAATAGAAAAGCAAAGAAATAAAAAGCAGAGCAAGGGGTCATACAAGGAGAAGATAACAAATACCAGGTAGCAGAAATCTATGAAAAAGTTCATGGAAAGGATTAAAAAAAAAAAAAGATGAGTTCAAAGAGGAAATTAACCTCTCAGCAATTTTACTCAATATGCTTGCTGTGAATTTCAGGAAAATAGCTAAAAAACTGAACAAGCTAACCAAAATAGTTAAAATTTGAGTGACAGATTCAACCAAGGGTATGGAAACTCAAAAAGAAGTCACACAGAAATACCTGAAATAAAAAACTGTGTGGAATTCATACACTGTAGAAA